AGGATTTCAGCATTGAGAATAAGGTGGGGAAGCAGTGCAAATAAACAGTAAGAAGCCTATTTTTTAATTATGCTGAAAGCATTAGTAAAGTTACAAAGAACAATACTTTTTAACATCATATTTCTGTCTGAAAATGATTGTCCAATAAAGATGGGAAAGAAACCTGACAGCCCACTTTGTGCTGGCAAGTGTCCTGAAAATACAGTGGAGGAAAACAAATTTGAATTCAAATTAGGAGAAAGTTAGTGACTAGAATAACAGAGGTGGATTAGGGCTCAATAAATCAGCTAGTTCATGTCATTGCTTAACTGGGTATAAGAAAATTATCCAAAGTCAACTGGCTAGTCCATTTTAATACCTCCTAAAAAATACACTTCCTTCTGCAATCAGCTTTAGTAAATAGCTCCAGAGCATAAAGGCCTATTTATTGAGAAAATATTATCTCAAGTTTAAAAGAAAGAAATATCTTAGATATTGTGATTACCATACCTGATGTAACTTTGCAAACACTGTAGAACTTGTCAAATGATTTATTAGGGAAGCTATTTTCATCTAGTTTTACAACTTATAAACACAATTTAATTTTACTATGACTTAAAAATTTATACCTCTAAGCTCTCACTTTCTCTTGACCCCTACATTTGTGTATCCAACTCCTAACTTAATATCTCCATTTGGGTTTCTAATATTCATCTTAAAACTATCATATCAAAAACTGAAAGTCTACATGCCTTCTTTCTATACACACACACACACACACACACATACACACATATTTGGCTTATCCTGCTGTCTTAGGAAATGGAAACTTCATACTTTGAGTTGATCAGGCCAAAAATCAGGAAATCTTTTTGGCTCAATTTTTTGAATATAATTAGAATCCCAACACTTCTCATCACTTCCATTACTAGCTTGTTTAAAGCTATTATCATCTTTTAGATATTCAATTCCCATAACTTCCATAAATTCCCATGCTCTTCCCACTTTCAGGAGGGAAGGATACTTGTTACTTACTTACTGATTATAATCTCTAAGCCCTCTTATAGTCTACTCTCATAAAAAGCCTCATGATCCTTCTAGAACATGACTAAAATCTTCTCATTCCCCTGCTCACCAACCCTCATGATTTCCTACTTCATTCAGAGAATGTCATAGAGCTTTCTCCAATCACTCTACATAAAACGGCAATCTCTATCTGGCATTCCTAGAGCTTCCTACTTTGCTTTATTATTTTCCCTGATACTTATCACTCTCAGACAAATTTTACACTTAATTATTTATATAATTCCTGTCTGCCTTCATTAGAATCTAATAAGCTCCATAAAGGTAAGGGTGCATATGTATTTTATCGGCTACTTTATTCTAAGCACCTAGAAAAATACTCAGCTGAATAAATATCTTTGAATGCATAAATACATCAAGCAATCAATGATGAACAAAGTTAAAGGGACTGTCACAGAAATCTATCATATAATGAATTATTATGGATTGAATTATGTCCCCCAAAAGATATGCTCAAGTCCTAACTCCAGGAATCTGTAAATTTAACCATATTTAGAAATAGGGTCTTCTCATTAATCAAGTTAAGATGAGGTTATACTGGATTAGGGTAAACCCTAATCCAACGATTCATGGCATCATCATCAGAAGAGGGAGATACAGACACACGCACAAAGAATGCCGTGCAAAGGAGACAGAGATTGAAGGGATGCATCTACAAGCCAAGGAATTCCAACAACAGCCCATAACCACCATAAAATAGGGAGAATCCTCCCTTTGAGCCTTGACAGGGATAATATGGTCCTGCTGACATCTGGATTTCGGACTTCTAACCTCCAGAAATAGCAGACAATAAATTGTTGTTGTTTTAAACTACCCAGTTTGTGGTAATTTGTTACAGCAGCCCTAGGAGAGTAATACATGAATTTTATACTCTTTTTCCTCAAATCCTAGAATATTAAAAATTCAGCAGAATCTTCAAATGGAGGTTTCACAATATATATAAGATCTTTTCCATAGGATAATACACACAATGCTTGACCAACAGCAGTGGTTTTGGGGTTGACTTGCTCATCAAAATCAAGAGACAAAATAGGCTTCACTCAGCCTCTAAGAATAGGCTTTTACAGAGCCTCTAACAAAGCATGCAGGACAGACATGCACAGGAAACACAGAGCAGATGCTCATGACTCCCAGCTACAGCTGTCAAATGTCCCAATTTCTCTAAGATGGGATGTATGTGATTATGAAAGCTGAGGTCTAGCGAGTATGGACTACCTTGATTTGCAAAAGCCAACAGCTTCAGGGTCCCATTGATTTTTCCACCTTGCTAGACTCTCCACCTTGCTAGTCGTATAACCCTCTCAGAAGTATGGAACTAAATGCCATCTCTGATGTAGCTGATTACTCATCAATTACAGGTTACTCAATAAACAGTCTAGAAACCCCAAGTATATGTGCATCATTCATTATATATCAATCTTAGCAGGACTCTTGTTTATCTTGCATCTGGCACACACTAACATAGTCCCTGTATTCATGTGTCAAGGAGGATAACTCAACCAAGGGTCAAATCCTTAGATGCCCCTCAGACTAAAAGAAAGGCAGCAGATCAGGTAAATAACCATTTCCTTCCAGAGTACAATGTATACCTTAAAAATACATTTCCAAGAACTGTCCAGGTGAATTAATACAAAATGTTTCTTTCATTTGTGTAGCACACTGTGTACCTTAAAGCATTTACATATAACCACATTTTCCTTCAACAACTCACTGAGGCAAAATAGGGCACTTGTGATCTTCTTTACTTAATTACAGTCCTCAAAATGAAAAACTCAGTAGCTTATAAAAGGCCTTTCTATTAAATCTTCCAACACCTATGTTTAAGAACCTATTGTTGCTAATTAAGTCGAATTAGGAATGTTTAAATGTATTCCCAAGTTTTTGAGGACAAACCTCATAAAAATAATTAGTAAGCTCTTGTCATAATCATTTCTTGACTCCACTTTAGACATCAATTATTGGGATGTTATAATCATTACTGTGATGTAGTCCAGTGTCCTGTAGGTGTATTTTCCCATCCAATTGCGGATGGCTCCTGGATCTAATCTAATGAATATAATAGTCTAATCTCCCCCAGCCACCAAATGCAGTTATTTCACCAGGATAAACTCCAGAGAACTGAACGAAAACTAGGAAGCCAAATCCACTAAATTATTCCACGGTAAAATATACTACTAATAAGAATCTGGTTTATATTGGGGCGCCTGGGTGGCTCAGTCGTTAAGCGTCTGCCTTCGGCTCAGGTCATGATCCCAGGGTCCTGGGATCGAGCCCCACATCGGGCTCTCTGCTTAGCGGGAAGCCTGCTTCTCCCTCTCCCACTCCCCCTGCTTGTGTTCCCTCTCTCGCTGTGTCTCTCTCTGTCAAATAAATAAATAAAATCTAAAAAAAAAAAAAAAAAAAAAAAGAATCTGGTTTATATGAATCAAGATAGGGTAGAATCTTCAAGGAAGCCTATTCTATTCCTTAATCAGAATTTCATGTTATTATTCATTTATACATGGATAAAATTTGTTTTATTTTATTCTTTCCCTTTCTGTAGAAAAATGTGCTTATACATTTTTTCTTCCGGAGTTGAAATTTTTTTTAGCTCTTTTTTTAAGATTTTATTTATTTATTTAATTGACAGAGAGAGAGAGACAGCATGAGAGGGAACACAAGCAGGGGGAGCGGGAGAGGGAGAAGCAGACTTCCCGCTGAGTAGGAAGCCCGATGTGGGGCTCGATCCCAGGACCCTTGGGATCATGACCTGAGCCGAAGGCAGTCGCTTTAACCAACTGAGCCACCCAGGCGCCCCAGAAATTTTTTTTTTTAGCTTTTAACAATACATATTTCCATGCATTAGCAGTCTCAGACTGTCAAAAAATATTGCTAATTCAGTATAATTATTACATTCAATATGGCAAACACTTTAGTTTGATATAGCTCTCACTGTCTCCTCTATTAAACAAATATTTATTGAACACCTGCTATGTACCAAGAACTAGAAAGTGCTAGGATGTCTGCAACAAGGATGAATAAAACATAATTACTCTCTAGTTCACAATCTGATTGAAACTAAGCCTTAATGTTATAGAATCCTTTCAATATGAACTACTATCATATGATCATAATCAATTGCTTTATACTATATTCTGGAATTTAGGTTTGAAATTTTAAAATGTTTTCTACTAATTTTCAACATGGAATATAAGTATTAGGAAAGTTACTAGAGAAATACAATTCCCTGGTTAAATAAGTTTGAATATTCCAGAGTATATTGCTCCCTCAGTGCCTATGAAAAGTACTTCGATAAAGAAAACTGTTTGTCCCACTGTTTCTAAATTCATTTGACCTTGGAATAAGTTTTACACAGATTACCTAGCAAAATCCTAGAGAACCGATGTCTTGCAGAACACAGTCTGATGCACTGTAACAAATACTGATGGGTCTATCTGATTTAAAGAGTATGCTTAACTCATGTCATTTCCTAAAATATTTATTTTTATTTATTTATATTATTTATAATATTTATACTTCAATAACTATCTATTTTTAGGAAAATATCTCAAACAGTACCACATCAGGGATTAAGTTAGTGTTTTTTTCTTCTCTTCTTCAGCTAGAAACAGGACAAAATAGTAGACAATATAGCAAGGAATAAACATTATCTTGGAGTAGACTAATTCATTTGCTAATTCCACAAATATTTATTAATCCACTTCTGTGTCAGGTTTTGTCATCAGGCACTCGGAAAACAACGTGAATCAAATAGAGAAGGCACCTGCACTGGTGGAGTTTACAACTAGTGAAGTACAGACATTAATCCAATAACCATACAGACATATGCATAAATTTCAAATGAATAGCTTTTATAAAGGAGCGCAACTCTTCCATATTCTGGCAAAAATTGATCAGATGGTATCCTCTTAGCTATGTAAATGTAAAAGGCAAATTACCTTTAGATGATCCCTCCTGTTCTTGGAAGAATAACTTGAGTAGCGTCCCTCGGATGATTAACTATCTGGGAAACAAGCCCCACTGTCCTGGGTGGGGGGAAACAAAACAAGCAATGGAGTTATGTTTTAAGTAGCTTTAGGACACCATTGTTGAAGGCTCTGCAGAAAGCTGGCCACAGTTTCTGGAGCTAGAACTAGCCCTGACCACATTTGCCCTGGCTGACCCACATTTGGGAGGCCGTGACCTTGAAATGCAAGAAGTGGTAGCCATGAGAGTAACCCTGAATCCTCAGGCCTCCTGAGATATGAAGACCTCTCAGTTGAACTTAACATTGGCTATGAGCAGAACTGCTAAGAAAGTGCTCTGCCCTCCTGATAAAAGCTGGAGTGAAGGATCAGCTGCCTCCACTGAGTTACAGAACCACCCTTCAAAAATAACTTTCAGCATGAGAATGATTTCTTAACTTAGCAGCCTGCAATTTCTGCCTGAGATACTCATTCTTGCGTCTTGAGGCACAATCACACTGTCTTAAATATCTATTGCTTCACGCCTATGAGGCAACAAAACTCAGAACCCAGCTATCTCCATTTCTCCAGTACTTTTCATAGCCACTGAGGGAGTGAGTAGATGCAGTGAGTAGATGAAGAGGCTTTCACTTTAGGATCCTGGCTTATTCATCTGACACTTCCTTTTTTTTTTTTTTTTATTCTTATGTTAATCCCCTACATTACATCATTAGTTTTAGACGTAGTGTTCCATGATTCATTGTTTGTGCATAACACCCAGTGCTCCATGCAGAACGTGCCCTCTTTAATACCCATCACCAGGCTAACCCATCCTCCCACCCCCCTCCCCTCTAGAACCCTCAGTTTCATCTGACACTTCTTTTAACCAAGCTTGTTTTCTTTGAAATAGGAAATGTAACAGTGTAAGGGATTTTTTTCATTCCATTTTCTTATACATAATATTTGTCCTTCACAACGAGGCTTCCACTTACTGTAAGTTGGGAGGTATGAATTAGGACCTTTAGAGCAGAAAGATTAGCAAAATATAAAGTTTCTGATCTTTATAACAAAAGATATTTTTTAAGACAACTATATTTTAATACAAAGTTTTCTCTAGGAATACTTTTCTAAATAATGGCTTGCAAACTTTGAATATATTGACCCGATATATTCACTAAAGACCTGGTGAGCTACAACACAGGGTTTGACATAGAGAAGGTCCAGAGCAGAACAGAAGCCTGCCCCTCAGAGTTGTGAGGGATATCGATGGAACAAAACAGAAAAGTGAAGTTGCCAGTGGAACATATGTCCTGGTCCCCCCCTCTTTAGACAGAAGCCCAGAGTAGAAAATAAGTTGGATTAAGGGGCCTTGAAATGGCAGTTTGTTCCATGACGTTATTTGGGAATCTAAAAGGAACTGCTGCATAGGATTGCCCCATACCCACCAGGAGATGCATGGTAGACAACTCTGTACCCATCATACTTAGGTAGAAAAAGAGTTTAGTGCACCTGAGCTTCTTCTTTTGGCTTCTACGACGTATGAAGGGAATCATGTGATCCCCTGACTATGCTGAAGGAGAGGGATTACAGAATTCACGGAGTCAAGACTGAGCCAACGGAGCTGCCATGGATGCCCGACCATGGTTACAGCAGGAGATGGCAATACAACACATGCTCTAGGGGAGATAACCTAGTCTAGGGGCCAAGTAGAGGATGTGGCCAAGACTCAAGGAGTTCGTCACTGTAAGAGACCATTGGCTCCCCAGTCAGCCAGAGTTGAATCACCAGTTACCTACATTAAAACCTCTCTGTTGAGGGGTGCTTGGGTGGCTCAGTCGTTGGGCATCTGCCTGCGGCTCGGGTCATGATCCCAGGGTCCTGGGACTGAGCCCCACATCGGGCTCCCTGCTC